TTCATTTCGATGGAACAGTCCTATGGGAACCACAGACAAAGGACAAATTTGTGAACAGGGAAAAGAGGAAATATATGCAGACATTACTTTCTAATCTAAAGTCTGAAAACATGGATAGAATGTAAAAATTGCTTTATCTTTACATTGTATCCCTTTTTCCTTCATTACTGAAACTGAAACTCAAAAAAAATTCCCCACAATTCTTTACAATTTGCTAACAAAAGCTGGTCTATGTATTATGTACACTACCTACATGTTGACATTTTGTACTTTAAGGTCATACAAGGTTATCGGGAATGCCATATCTCACTGCCGACAGGTCATTTGTGGCATTTCTAACCACAAGGAAAAAGGTTCTGCCTCACCAGATCCCTTTAAACCCCCAATCCCACACAGTCAGTTGGGTTTAAAAAAGGGAAGCAGCAGCCCGCAACAGGAAGTCGGAATAATTGTCCTGAAAGTTGGGCCAAACCAACTCAGTGCTACTACTAAGAAATACATGCTGTGTGGGTCTTCTGTTTCTTGGATAGGCCATAAGAATAGAAACACCAGTACCTGAGGAGGCATCACAGATCCCAATGAAACCATGTTTATCACTGCTTTTATCAAGTTGGAAACCTAGGGGAATACACAGGGCAACATGTTCCATACAAATTCTCCATTCTCTTTGTTCCTTTTCTTCTTTCAGTGCACAAAATCCCATGTTGTTGGGCAGTGTCCCTGAACTTTGGAACAAAGGAGTTTTTGTCAGAAGCACTTTGGGTGGAAGCTTGGATACAACGTGTTATTTTTCAATCAATACAACTGCTAAATGGATGTGATAGAATCTATGAGTTTGAAGCATACAATTTTCCAAAGTCTAGTAATTTCTACACTATTTCATTGTATGAGTATAGAGAAATTTTTACTTTTGCATGAGAAGGGATCATTTACCTGTTGTTTTTTTACCAAATGAAACTACTTGTACCTTCTATCAAGCACGAAAATTTTCAAATATATGCAGTAGCTTTATTCAGTTTTTGTGCACCTTCCCAACACAAAATCATGAAACTTTGAATATGAGCTTGTTTTCCAATTTTTATAATACTAGTACCTTGTTTCAACCATGAACCTTCTTTCCCTTCCTACCAGAAAATTAAGTGCCCACAAAAATAAATGACTTTATAGTATCATATTACAAATTACACCTGTTATCAATCTAGATAAAAAAACCTGTCCTACATAATTAATTGAGTCAAGCTGACATAAATTTGATAAAAATGGCTACTGTGGTTTTCTATTATTAGAAAACCATGGGCAGTCTGGTCAGCGACGTTCTAATGTTACTTGGAAAAAATGTTCAGTTTTCTATGTAGAGATGGATTTTTAACAGGCATTTTCTTCTTCTTTTTGAATCACCAGTCAAGGGAGGCTTATAGTAGAGCCTGCATAGTATGCTTTTCATGTACAGAACTGGTACATTGATGTTCAGGTACTTTGGACCTGGACTTACAATGATGTAAGTGATTTTCATGGTATGCACCTGTATGCAGAAAAATGGGGGCCGGCATGCCCCTTTTTCGTAAGGCGTAATCAGGCCTTTTCAGTCTTCGTAATCCATAGGCAGCCACCCAAAATCGTTGGAATTCATAATCAGCACATAAGCTGCAGCGCGTAACTGTTCATATTCAGCTCTAAATCGGCGGTGAATTTTGCGTAATTCGTAATCACTACCCCCTATGCAGGCCCTCAAAAATGGACAACAAGAAAACATTCTGCTTTTGAATTTCCTTTCCAACATATACTTGGAGCTCACACATCACCAAGCTAAGCCAAAGCAGGTTTTGGTTCCAAGGTAACCTTACAGGTGTGATCTGACTAAACAGTGTGATTGGATCAGGATATAGGGGATTGTGTTGTGTTGATTACAGGCAACACAAGCACAGGGACACTTAGCAGGACTGAAGGAGCCGATTGTACGATTATAGGACCACCAGACCTCCCAGAACAACTCTTGAGTAAGTTAGTTTCCAAGTGGACTTAAACTTCAATTTGGAAATTTCTTAGAGTACTAACAGCCTGGGTGCCAGATCCACAGCACATTAGGCCCACTTGTGAACACTGGATAACTTTTGGTCTACTGTGTGCTGTGTGTACTAACAGCTTTTTCTCAAGCTATACGAAGGAAACGGAAAAGTTGAACATGACTCGCATCCAAGTTACAATGTATACATCCAAACTACAGGACTGCAGTAGTGAGAAAGGCTGGCTAGAAAAATTGACTGCCATGAGAAAGGCCTGTGCCAAACAGCCGAAACACTCCAAAACTGCCCGACCCATTGAGAAATTTGGTAGCCTGGATGCCATACCCATAGCACACTGGGCCCAAATTAATATCCCAGTGTGCAGGATATTACTTTGGGCCCAGTGTGCTATATATGGGTCTGGCATCTTGGCTAGGAGAAATTATGGTCACCAGGTTTCATTATATAAGAAAAAAATATCAAAAACATTTTAAAGAATTCATTCTTGAATAGCAGATCAGACAGTGGTCAACTTTACTTAAGGAGATACAGTCAGTCACTGTACAGTATTTGCAAATGCGGCTATTGTTCTACAAGTGCAGGTGGAAAGTAAACCCTACACCCACACACAAACAAACAAAACACTCAAAACACACCCGCTGGCCTCCTTAGTACCTTACTCAAACAGGTAGGCATTTCGTCCATACCGGGTACAAACAGACATCCATGTAATTAAATAGGCTTTGAGGAAAAACGGAACCACCTAACAACCAACTGGCCATAAAGATTTCACAAAAAAGTTTTATTTATTTATGAATGTCGAAGGTGGAGAATATTATTTACAGAAGTCCTTCAGTGGGACTAGTGCCCCTTGCCCCCTGATATCAACACCACATGTACTAGCCTGACCAGGGTTCCAAGAAGCCCCATCTTCGGTCATTTAATCCTTTATCTACTCCCATCTTTAAAATAACCTGAATTTAAATACAAAAGCTCCTAAATAATGCGTTTTGTTCATGAAAAATATCATCATTGAAAGGCAATAGTGTTTTTCTGCTAATTTGCTGACGCATTTTTGTGTGTAGATTTGAAATTTGATAAGCTGCGGCCAAAGCTTTATAGCCACAGCCACTGGGGACGGAGTTTGAGGAAGTAAAACCAAAACAGCTGTGGGGGCCGTCCCTTGTTGTCAGTTCCATATTTACCTTAAATTTGCCATACGCAGACATCTACAAAAGAATTCTGTACGTTCAAAGGTGTTTTCATACGTGTCAGAGCCTCCCCCCTTAAATGGTGCAATTAAGCGTGCAAACAAAACGACAAACTCAGGTATGGGTATCGTCCCATCTTAAGACGATTCCTCGGGGCAAAAAGGGGCCTGAGACGTAACGGTCCAACAAAAACAGACCCTTGTGATACTAGACAGCAGAATCGACAGCAATAATGACAGTTTGGACCGTGTTAAGACGGTTATTTTGTAGTACAAAATCCTGGCAAATAAATCGCCCATGGTCACGGTTAGTGAATAACAACGTAGAACCATAGTATCGCTTCTCCGTACTACAAGGTGATTACCATATTTAGGACGCCTCTCAAAGCTGCTAAAACTTTTCAACACCCCACCCGCCGCGAGGTCTGGTTTCTAAGTCCTTCTCAAGTTCGTGGATCGCGCCTTGAGGTTGTGTTGGAGTGGTCAAAAGGAGGGAAAACTCACCGCAACTTCGGAAGATTTTCACTCGTCAAAAGAACACCCCAGTCCGTCCGCCATGCCGGAAACGATAGTCACGTGACGTGGCAGAATGAGTCACGCCCTTCTGGCTCTGACGTCACTGCTGACGGGCAAAACAAGGTGTGGGGGCGGGGCGTATTAAATATGATAATAACAACGATTTAATACTACTTTATTATGTAAGTTTAATTGAGCAAACTACCCTTTTTGCCAGTTTTTATGCTGACGTATTATGACAGTTGTATAAAGTATATTATTAACTGTTATATTTAATGAATGTAACAGTTAATATATTTGAATGAATGTAATGTACTTGAATGTTACATTACTTTCTTGTATTAAATATGATAAGGCCACACCAATTTAATTTGTTGGTTCTCGGATTTTTTCAGAAAAGATATGAAGCAACAGGGCCAAAAAAAATAAAAACAGGTCTAGGCGTCCTATTATAGACCCAAATACCATGAAGTCAACACAAATGGCTGGGTTAATATTTTAACAATGAATTTTGAACTTTATTAAATTACTGAAAAATGCCAGCAGGACAAGGGTTAAGTATTATTGTTACCATGTGTTTGTGTGGCAGTTATTGTGTGGCAGTTGTATTGTATTGTTTTATGTAATGGACCACTGGAAGAATAGCTAACCTAATGGCAAAGCTAAACGTGGATCAAAAAAAGACAAAGACACGGTTTGTTTGAACTACCATTTCTATTTACTCACAAGGGCAAATTTACAATCACATATACATCTCTCTACAACACAGCCTGGTAGCCTTCTCTTCTCTTTGTAGCAACAACAGGCACTTTTACAAGTACACATATCTTTATGTCTGCAGCATTCATCTGATGGTAGTCTATTGCCTTAATTAAGCTTAATTAAGGCCACACCAATTTAATTTGTTGGTTCTCGGATTTTTCCAGAAAAAATATGAAGCGACAGGGCGAAAAAAAATAAAAATAAAAACAGGTCTAGGCATCCTATTATAGGCTTAAATGCTACAAAATGAGCCATGAAGTCAACACAAAAGGCTGGGTTAAAATTTAAACATTGAATTTTGAACTTTTAATCAAACCACTGCAATGATAGATGGGAAAACTGTAACAACTAGGAAGAAAAGGACTTTCCTCAACTGCTTAGGGGCAAAACATGAGCATTTTTCAGTTGATTCAGGACCAGAATCAAATTTTTTTTTTTTTTTTGCAAATCAGAAAAAAACAAAGAGGCGAATCCGAGAACCAACAAATTAAATTGGTGTGGCCTAAGGTCATTTTTCATAGATCAATGCATCCCATACCATAAAACACATAAATAATACTGGTAGGGATAGGGAGTAGAACTGAAATGTTAGTGACATCTTTACCATCCATAATACTGTAAATGGTGAAATGTTTTCAGTGGTTTATTTTTGCAGTTTAGGTTCGGATATTGTGCTTTGAAATCCTACTGTGCTACAGAATTGCTTCAACTGTAAACTTCAAAACTGCCTTTTCCCTCCTACCTCAGAATTTGACCGCCGTAAACACATTTACAGTACCAAGGTGTTAATGACCTAGCAACCTTCTACAACATAAAAAGTAGAAGACATATCAGGTGTCTTTCAGTTGAAGACACTTAGGTTTGTATAGCCGGTAAAGCGATGAACTGATGAACATGCACACATACAACAAACTTCTCATTTCATGATCACATTTTCTCTAACGTCTATGTAAACAAGAAAATGTACGTCTATTAAATACAGAATAATTCTTCATGAGATTGAGGCAGTAGTGTTAATTTCACTGACATACGTAACATTCACTATGAGCCTATGAAATGGTTGTAACATACATGTATGGAACTCATTTGACATATATTTATATATACATTTATGTACAATGTGCAGCTGTGAACACTTTCCTAAAGACTTAACTCATGATCTCCAAGCAGATGTTAAGGGGAGTCTAAATCCTTACGAATTCCTAGATGCCCTTTTCTGTGACAAACTACCTCCAGCTGGGATTGACATGTAGCCTCTCCCAAAATCTGCTTGGAGATTATTTACTTGTACTTCCACATGTAATACTGGCACAGTCCCTATTAAGCCAACATGCTTCCTATGCACGAACATTGTATTACCTTGTAACCAGACTTCACTGGAAAGTACAATGTACATCTATAACAACTAATGATCTGGAAGATTGACCTTCATCAACTAGCATGTACCAGGTTAAGTCTGTTTAGTTGATACACATTTAACAATAAAAGGGTTTCAATACAACATTTTGAGTGGTTTTGACAGAACAACTATAATGCTTCATGGTCCACATTCATGGTCCTAACAAATGCACGGCTAGTGTAATAGACCATTAACAATCATGGTATAAGATGACAGTATCTCTTCTCTTCCAATTGAAAGCTCTCCTCTACATATAATAGCTCTGTATACACCGAAAAATACAAGTACTCTCTATTTACATGATGTGAGAGTTGGCAGTCCACTAGCTCTCACATATTTACAACTATACAACAAACGTCTAAACCCTGATGTATACAATCTGTTCTTACTCACATACATGTAACTTTAATTTGCTTGCAATGATTCCTTGCAAATTACAACTTTTTTGTTAGCTCTGTTTAGTAGTATTCTAAAATTCTTTTTCAACTCTTTTGAAGACAATGTTCTCAAGCAATATCAGATTTCTATATATCATATTCTGATTGTCGACAGTGTGAAAATAGAATTTGTGGTCATTGAGTCTTTAATTTAGAAAGCTGCAACATCAATTTTTAGTAGTACCAGATAGTAATTAATTGCAAAAAGGATTTTTGTTTATTCTTAGAATTTTCAAGTAAGTGACCATGATTTCTTGAGAATTAAATTTTGGGAGTTTCAAACAATGTGTTGAAAAGGAGAAAAAGAAAAAAAAACTGAAATTCTTCTTCGGAATCAAATTTTTCAGGTTTATCAAAACAATCCAGTTCATATTGTATACATTATGCACATAATCCACAACAAGTTAAGTCCCCGCCCATAAATTACCACCACCTTCATCCTTTTTACACTTCCGCCTCTGCCCGACCTGGCTCCTTGGCTATGTACACGATTTTGTCGGGGTCTATGAGCCGATGTTTTATCTGATCTGGAGACAGATCTATCGGAGAATGAACACTGATCAGTTTGGACGGGTCCAAATCAACCATCTCGTCCCTTCCCCTGCTCTTAGGACCCTCCTCCTTCTTCTCCTCCTCCTTCTCCACTTTTTTAGGGACGTAGTTGATGTTGAGGTCCCTAAACTTCCCCCCGACGGCGGCGACTTTCGAGTACTCGGCCACTTCGGAGCCGTGCTCGGAGCTGCCGTGGCTGGAGGTTGTGTTGGTGCTCGCCGTCCGGCCTCTCTTCTCCCAGACCACGTCGCCCTTCTCGGCGTCTGTTGCGTCTCCGTTGCCGGTTTCGTCTTTGTGCGGGAGCAGGCTTTCCTCGGAGCCGTCACTGCAGCCACTGCTGCTGCTCGCCGTGGAGTAGTGCGCGCTCTTACCTGCAAATCAAATCAAATGTTAGTGATCAAAACAAATACAGTGTATATGCTAACAGTAAAAATTTTTATCTTATTACCTCTGACAACAGGGACAAAACAATGATAAAAAAGAAGTACAGTCATTATGTAAAGGTAGTGTGCACAGGCGTTCCTACGACATTTGTGGGGTTGTGTGGCATAGCGGCAGAGTGTTCAACTCGGAACCAAGAGGTCCCGGGTTCTAACCCTGCCATGTCACCAATCTTGTGCCCTTGGGAAAGGTACTTTACACAACTTTCCTGGACGGAGACCTGGTGGACTCCATCTTGTATTAGGCACAAAAATAGGCAGCACAATCTTCAGCTAGTTGAAGGCGGCTGCCTCAAAATGAAAGAAGAAGAAGAAGATGGAATATGAGCCTTAGTTACCTGGGACGTCCACCACGATGCTTCCCTCTGAACTGTCCAGTCCGATGGCGGAATCGTGCGACCACTGCCGGCCGAGCTTCTTCAGCTGGCTGATGTCGTCCACAGTCTCCTTGTCCACGCCGGAATCGCTGATGACGTACGGGTTGTACATGTGGTGGGCGTCGCTGGTGAAGAAACTGTCGCCGGGAACGGAGTAGTACGTACCCTGGAAAACAGAGTGGGAAATATGAGTAACTTGCATCCCATTCAGTGAAAAAAATACCTACACCAGTACCATTGAGGCTGGTGGTCAACTAGTAAGTGGTGTCAAAGTGGTTGTCAACTGGTAAGTACAAGTAGTGTCAAAGGACTGAATGGTTTTTAGAGATTCAGAGGTTGTGGGTTTGATTCTTGGCATTCCTGGATAGACATTGTATCCTCGGGAAAGGCACAGCATTTTGAAGAACAAGATGTTTTGGAGAGAAACACTACATGAACCTGCTCTTACCTCTTCACAATAGTAGTTCTTTGCACCTGGGAGTTGGCTTCTTTGTCCCTTCATCTCCTTGAATCTGAAAATTATAACCAACAGATAAGCTTACTTAACATACATTGCGTGTAGACAATTGCTATACGACTGTCACAAACAAGAACAATACCTAAGCACGGCTGTGGAAATGTCACATACAAAATAATGACAGACTTTTATATCAACAACAACACAAAATGAATGATTTTGTTGAAAAGAATCTGGAGATGTCATTTTTACCTCTTGTGCAGCTTGGGTCCCGACACTGCTAAGCAGATCCCGAAGAGCACAAGGACGGCAATGACTCCTGCAATGGTCGCCTCTGTCAGACTCACAGGCTCTGTAGTCGAGACAAAAATATGTGTTTAATAACACAAAACTAATTTCCAAGAAGATTCTTTCAAGAATCTACCAGTAGATTAGTCACATGGGTTAGACCTGGCCATCTAGAGAGACTCGTCAGACACCTAGGATGGCAAATGGATACTGCCTGGCAAATTTGATACTGTCTCTGCAGCCACCGAAAGATCTGCTTGGAGATTACACAAAAACAAAGCTGCTGACTTAAGAAATGCAACAAATACAGCCTATGGGAGAACATTCTGTCAGTCTGTGGTTACAACATTCCCCCTTCACTTCCTGTGAAGTTACTGGTATTATTCAAATAACTATGGATGTCACTCATGCAAACAAGCAGACACAGAGGTAACAAGGTAACTTACCATGCTGTATTGAAAGGTAGGCATTCGGGAAATCATTGCAGTTGAAGTACACAGTTCCCGAGGATTCCCCGAAGAGGTCATACCGACCCTTGGGTCGAGCCTCTACCCGGAAGAAGTACGACCACCCCCGCCGACAATACACCTTGGACTTGTCCACCAGCCATTCCGTCTGGGTGGTCTCTTGGCGATAGACCAGGTCGTCATTTTCTTGTCCGTAGGTGAGGAGGTACGTGATGACGCGTGCGTTTCGTGGCACAGGCGGATCCCAAACAACATGAAGCCGCTCTGTGTACTCGTCAAAGGACACCCTCAAGTTCATTGGTACACCCGGTTCTGACAATGGAAAGATGGATCTAAATTAGTTTTACGCTTTTTATGTACATATACAGGACAGACTGCTATGGGACCGGTGAGGTGAGGTGAGGTGAAATGAAGAATATTAACTGCAATTTACTTTAAATTCATGGTAGCAAGAAAAATGGATGGTTCATGGAAGTATATTTTGAGCTTTCATGAATAAAGAATGGTTCAAACAAACAATTTGCTCACTGTAGGGGAGGGGGGCCATAGACGAATGATTAGTAGTGGCCTAGAAAACCGTGAACATGAAAGTACCGTGAAAATATCAGGAATTACAGTACATTATCTTTGTCAAGATTTAGTTGAAGAATACAGCAATCCACACCTCCAACTTTTGTGAAGAAATTCTCCACCGGCGAGAGGGGTCCACATGGGGTTTCCAATGCTCCAGTACAGGCTTGTACACGTACTGGGAATCTCATATCTCCTTCCAGACCCTCCAAGACCACTTTTGTCTGGTTGCCCACTTGTTGGGAACTGTCTCCATAGTGGATGGTGTAGCCCTGGATGATACCATTAGGCTGGGATGGGGGTGTCCAGGATATGACAAGAGTGTTGACTGTTGCCTTGATGAGCTGGACGTTGCTTGGTGCGTCACTGGGAGCTATAAAAACATGATCATCGCATGTCAAAACATTCATTTCTCTTTAGATAACTCCAACAAATTTGGCTCATAGCAATGATTGAAAGTGTAACATTCATTCACATTTATCTGCCAGGTTGCATAACTAGGAGAGCCGAGCAATCCCATGTTTTGTCTCCCGCTCCATCGTGCAATGGAGAAGTAAAAAAATTGGCCACTTGGAAAACAGTTTGTTTGAAAGATGTCTAGTAACACCCCTCCCCCCTGTATCAGTGTATGCACATTTTACAGATACACAGGAGTGTATTATACTCTTACTCTTAGACATTGTATTGGAGGTCTCTTTAGACAATTTTCAGGGAGGCTGATATACATTATGTATTTGATCTACCAAAATCCCGTTTTAAGATGGTACATTCAGCTTCATGTGACTGAATCCTCACAGATTGAAACAGACTGTACTTACCAGCCTGTTCAGTCCTGGCGCTGACAGGGTCAGTTTTGACGCCCTCTCCTCGTGAGGTCAGAGCTGAGACTCTGACAGTGTAGTCTGTGAACGGTGTCAGTCCTGGCAGAGAAAACTGCACAGGCTGGGCGTCATTAGTCACGTTGACTGACACAAAAACTGCATCTGTAATGAAATGTAGAAAATAATCAAGGGGTGTTACATAGTATTTACTACTCTATAATCAATCATAGGGAAGAATATATGTCAATCTTAACATTATTTTACTTATCTTCTTCTTCTTTGGCAGTTCAGTCTTGCAAGACTATACTTTTAAAATATGTGGAAGGATTGACATTACAGGGGACTATCAGGTTTTCAAGATGTCAACTCAGAGACCGGACTGTAAGGTTTGAACCACTCAAACTGGAAAGGACACCTACCCTTTATGATAAGTGCGGTGGGATTTGGAAAGTGCTTAAGGTGTGGTTTCCTTTACATCCTATCCAAGAAGATGTCCTTTATCAATGCCAGGTACTCATTTCATTTCTCAATTTAGTGAGAAAATAGGCATTAAGGGCCATTTCTAAGGTCAATGCACAAGCACCTGCCTGGTATTCGAACCCAAAACCTTAGGACTCTGAGCCAACAACCCTATGTCAACAATATGACGAATAATTTACTAGTATTCTCTATACAAACCTGCAGCCATCTGCTGTCCACTGATAGTCGGTGTGACGTAGTAATACACCCTGTATGTGGTGATGACCCCCCTCCTGTCCTGGAGAGGTGGTGGTTTCCAGCTCACCAGCAGTGATGTGGAGGTATCAGCCTGGACTGTCACATTCTGCGGTGGGGAGGACGGCACTGGGGACAAAAAAGAAACAATGTTAAATGTTGATCAATATTTCTGCTTTCATAAGATACCACTTTCCAAGACGCTTTTGCCTTTTATCTCCTCAACCAAAGTCAAGAGCCCATTTTACACCTGGGTGGAGTGATGAAAGTTTTGTCAAGTGACTTTTCCAAGGATAAAATGTCTTGCCAGGAATGCTAGGAATCGAACCCATAACCTCTTGGTCTCATTTCCACTCAGCCATTCAATGCCTCCTTGTTGTAGCCTGTAGCCAAGGATCACGAAGTGAGTTGTTATGTAGTATATGGACTACTAGTAAATGGACAGAAAAAAAAACATCACAAGATTGTTACTAGACACCCATCCCTTTTACACATAGCACACGTAATGCTTACCTCCTTCAACAGTATACAGGTAGACAGTACTGGACGGCTCCCCCTTTCCAGCAGTGGTCGCAGCTTTCACAATGAACCTGTAGAGTATTTGTGCGTTATTACTATTACATCTGCTGTGTATTTGTATGTTAACTTATTCTTTTTTAAACGTATATTTATGTCACTACATTACAAGTACAATATTTTAGGGATGACTGATTGTTTTTATTGTTAATCTGTTGATGCTGAAGTGATCAAATTTTAGACGCAATTCAGGAGTTACTCCTACGATGATTGTTGTTTCATCAAATGAAGTTCAAACCTGTAGCGACTGTAGGGCATCCAGCCGTCCCGTAACGTCACCGTTAGCTGCGTCCCGGGAACGCTCGTCACGTTCCCCTCCCCGGCACACCGGCGGTCGCGCTCGACCTCGCACCAGGTCACGAAGTAGTCCTTGATGCCTCCGATGGCTGCTGGTGGTTGCCATGACAGCAGAACGTCTCCTTCCGAGGTCACCGTGGCGACCACATTCCGTGGCTGATCGGGTCCTAGGGAAGGGCAATACAGGATTCAAACAATGACTGTGTGCTCTAGAAATATGAAGATAAAGTGCTGGGACATTCGTGTAAAAAACAGACCTCGTTTTATTTTTGATCCAAAAAACACCATCATACTTGTAAGTCAAAAAACAGTTACCCAAGCAACTAGCCATGACTTTCGAATCCAGTTGCTTGAGTAACTTTTTTGACATACCTTATTACCTGGATGTCTAAACTTTACCAACGAATAAACCTTTCTCTTGAAGCTCTATAGAAATCTTACTATCATATAATAAAATTCTTACTTCTTGAAATGTCTTGAAGCTGTATGACCCTCGGTGGTGACAGCCCTTTGTTGTTGTAGGCCACAACCTTCACCAGGTAGTCAGACATCTGCAGGTTCCCCAGGGTGAGAGTATACAGGTCCACACCTGATGCCGTGATGTTGTAGATCACAGTTTCCCCAGTTCTCGGGTCGGTCACGTTGACGAGGTAGCCGCCAAGAATTTCAGAATTCCACTTTTCTGGATCAAGGGACTTGAGAAAAAAATCGATCCATGAAATATACCATACATGAACACAATTCTAATGAATACAAAGTCCTATTATATATCTAATCTTCAAAATATCTAGGTAGTCCCTACAATAATTTGTTGATTTCCAATAGGACCCAGAAAACATATAACATAGTAAAAATGGTACAAACGAAATCATAAGATATATATATATTATATACAATTTGTATCTATGATTGAATTTTACATAAATCAGAGTCCTAATTGGAAATCGAATCCAAAATCAAAATGGATATAAAAGAGAGGTTAAAAATCGGCAGTGAAAATTACTACGTCTATGAAATTATCATGGCAATTGACAGTAAGACTTGCAGAAGCAACAAATCCTTAACAGCATTAGGTCAGCATTACACAACATACATGTAAAGGTTATGGTGGAGGAGAACCTACCTCCCATCTTAAAGTCATGTTTCGAAGTCCAAGTCTGTAGTCTCTCCAGGAGACTGCTGGAGTTCTCACCACAGGAGGGCTGGATGGAGCTAAGGAGAGAATTAAGGACTGATTAAAGCCAAGTTTAAAATCTCACTTATATACTGACATATACAACTTTTTTCACAGGGCTCAACATATCATGTCCTGCACATGCAGGTAAAATTGCGGCTGTACAGCTATTTTTGATGTCTATGTGGGATATACATAGAAATAGTAATGTAGAGCAGAGTTAGGAAGATTCCCATTAGATTTAGATTATACTGTATTCTTTTCTCACACATGTACATGTTGTTTGCAATTAGCCCTCGGGCATGTATTTGCAATAAACTCTCTTCTCTCTCTGTATTATAGTGACAGACAATGAGACGAGTTAAGATGAGATGGTGCATACCAGACTGGTTGGTCTGTACTTCCATGTAGGGGGAGTACTCGCTCCACAGCTCCCCGATCACCTGCCGACACTGTATGTGGACCAGGTACCGGGTGTGAGGAACCAGGTCACCCAGAGTCTCGTACTGGGGGTTCTGCAACTCAATCATTACCTCCTTCTCCTGTCAGGAAAATGTGAGAGACAAAACTTCAGTAAGGCAGAAAAGCAGTAGTATCTGTGTCTGTGTCTGTACATCTGTATCTGTATAGCCAGTATAACCGCCCTTTGGCATAACATACCATTTAGTAAGACCATGTCGATTTTTGATTGTATGGATGACTTCCTCTGGGAACCCCAAAACTTATGTGAGTATGCAAATAAAAAAAGGTTTGGCAAAAAAAAGTTGCCTTCATTATGAAATCTACATGTATGTACTCATGAAGGTTGAACAAATGACACAGAGTATGGTATGGCAAAATTATATATTCTTCATTTTCATTTCTTTACATCTACTTTTGTACTGTGGAATTGATTTTGGTATTGTTCCACATGAGGATCATTTCAAATTTCTTTTTTTTTTTTTGATTTACGGCATACATTTGCTTATTTTGCAGCTGCTTGGTACGATTTACAGCATGGTCGAAAACTTTTTTCTGGAAAAGGACTTATGTTCAACACACAACAATCTTGACTGACCCTGGTGGAGTTGTCCCTCAGTGACACATACTCAATGGCGCAGATATAGCTGGTGAACAGGAGCTCAGCACATCTCGGCATGTCCCACTCTACAGTCACCCCCCTGCTGCTCACAGACGCCACTCGCAGATTCTCTGGGGGGTCCGGTTTAACTGGGGGGGGAGGAAATTAGGGGGTAGCAACTATTAGAATATGAGTGTACCCACTACTGTATCCCACCACTTCTTCAACCAACCCAAAATACCAGGTGACCCAAACACCTCCTGACTTTCAATGAACCAGTCTTTTATATGCAGCCAATATCGTTTATACATGTAAAACCTACATTTTATTTGTGTCGGTTAATATGTCTGCCCCTTTTAGCATAGAGAGTATCAGTCTTTAAAAATCGAAAGCAAATTCAACTTGAGCTATATAAAATTAATGACTGTAGAATGACTGCATGATTTTACTATCTAATTCTTTACGAGTGAACACTTTTTGGGATGAGTTGTCAGTGGCTTGTTAGCCTGTCTTTTTTTTTATTGCTCCATAATCGGTGACCATGTGACCTCTTTTGGGATGTTTACTGCACACGTAAGTGGACTGTACTTTGTGATGAGTCTAAAGCAGAGGCAAGCAAAATGAGAGAGGCATTGCAGCTACGACTACTGTCAGCCACAGCTCTACAGACTACAGCTCTACTATAAACTGAAGTAAAACATCATTGACGAGAGCGCAGACTGGTCCATTGAGAGTATCTACCCCAGCCATGGTGAGAAATAACCACCATGCAGCCCCACCTTACCTGTGCTACCTTATCAGTGGCCACTCACCAAAAATAAAGATAGGGGTGCAAAATTTCATCATATACAACTAAACAACAAACCTAGCCTGGTATCCGTCCCTATTATAGATCCAATACTCTCCTCTGATTTCTAACCCCCTCTGCAAATAATCCCAAATTTGGTGGAGGGGACAAATCAGACAAGCAGACTGGAGCTATCTTGGGGACGGACAAGCTATGCCAGACCTCCTCAGTAAGCCATACCTTTTACACTAAAACCAAATCAGGGCCTAAATATTCTGTCACAGGTTGTATTGTTCAGATGTTGCTTCATGGAAGGCCTGTATGTTATGTCATGTCATGTCATGATTTCAATTTTGCACCCCTCTCTACAGTACACCAAGAAACAATTCTAATCATTTACCAATGCACCATTTGCAAACCATTCTTACCGAAGACAAAACACCGAAGTGTGCATGAACATGCTTTACCTGCATGCAAGGTTGTGCCACTGAAGTTACACAAGCAGGTAAAGTATAGAATAAAAGGCATTCAAATCTGCTTTAAGTTCCCTCACATTGCACCTTTACTGTTTTACACTGGCCCATGCTTAAAGCAATCAAACATACTCCTATGGCGTTCCCTCAATACTGGATGCAAGCATGACGAAGCTGCTGCCTGATCAGAGCGAAGCTTTGTCTCTGCCATTTTCTCACTAATTTGCTTGGGGGGCCCGCAAGAAGTAGCTGAGAAAGAACATTCGTAAATGTCTTTGTTTGTTTGTTTGTGAGAGGGCTGGCTGGTGCGGAAGAGGACAGCCCACGAGCAAAAGAGCAGACAGAGATGGTGGACATATAGTGGGTGGTACAAGGTATAAACATATAGACTTAATTTATTTTGTACTGTACAGTCACAGTCTTAGAATATAAAGGTTAATTACTGTCTGTGTCTGTGATAGGGAATGAATAAGATCTTCATCCTTTTTCTGTCTGTATTGCTTCTTTACCTAGCATGGAATCTATTATTGATTTAACTTTCTCCCTGCTGCCTGACAAATACAAATTTAGTGCCATACAGCTATCTTTGTTAATGAAGAACAGTTTTAAACTTTTCAAAGTGTTGTCAAGTCATTTTGCATATTGATGTTGAAATAGTATCTTTCTCTGAACAATATTAGAGTTGAGTACAAATATCTCACATCTGAAGTATGTGTACAAAATTTGAAATTCTACATTTTCGTTTTCAAGAATAAGGAATATGATAATGTTCTCCAACTGAAGAGAACAATTTGACAATGTATATTTTCAAAAGGAAGACTTGAAGATGCAGAGAAGTTGGAGAGTGGGAACAACATGTAGTTATAGAAACTGAAGAGACACACAGAGATAGGCAGGTATATAGAACAGAGCAATCTGTGGACAGTTGGATATCTCTGTTGAATTGTGGAGTACCAAATTGACAGTATCATTTCAACCAGTTGTGAAGAAAATCTTGAAACTAAAACTCTCCCTTTGGAAAAAAAGGATTTTATGTACAAGTCATGTATCTTTAAACCCCACTACAACGTCACACACCTCACCGATTCCAAACAACTGGAGGAACTAAAAACCAGGTTTTCAGGAAGTGTTCACCAGTGTTTTGAGAAAGTGTTCACCAGTGTTTTCACAAGTGTTTACCAGTGTTTTCAGAGTGTTCACCAGTGTTTTCAGCAAGTGTTCACCAGTGTTTTCAGCAAGTGTTCACCAGTGTTTTCATAAGTGTTCACCAGGTTTTTCACAAAGTGTTCACCAGTGTTCAGAGAGTCATGCTTGGGTCCTTGAGTACCGGGTATTCAAACAAAAACTCCTCCCTCACTCCAAATACCATCACCGTTAATTTGTGCATTTGTTAGCCATTAGCGCACTAAGCATCACAGAGTGCTACTGCTACTAGTGCTAGCTGGCAACAGAGAATCAGCAGGAAACAGCAAGGAGGAAAGAAGTTTGAAAGCTTGAAAAAGCGTTCACAACTTGTTACGGTGCAAGGCGGGGTTAGCAAGAGCAGATCCATACATAGGATTGCAAAGAAGAAAGGACAATGTATCAAGACTGCGACAGAATCCACATGTTAACATTGCACATATTGCAAGAACAGGAAAAATCAACACCATCAACAGCATAATAAAATGGACCAGTGTTGCTGTGTACTGTGTATAATGCTGTGTACTGTGTATAATTTGTTTGCACTTATTGTCCAAGAAAGAAAGTTTGAATCTATAATGCGTCACTTTTACAGCAGTATCACATCAATATGGCAATTCTGACACATGCAATTGATGGTGGAATTTTTCCCTAGTACAGTGTAGCAAAAAAAAAGAAACATCTACAAGATTCACTAAAAGAAAGAAATGCAATCAATACATGCTGACAACTTACAAAACCAAAACAACGACAAACTTCTTCTAACTTAAGAAGTTACAAAAAACAACACAATGACTACTTAATACTAATATCAGACACAACATAATACATTTCACAACTTATTTGATACAGTTTAGATAGAGAATTTACATGACTACAATACAATTCAATACAGTACATTACAACTGCAAAGGCAAACACAACAAACACTGAATCTGATCAAGAAACAAAACCTGACAAACAAAATATGATTAAATTATATAGTGTACAAGCAAAATAACAAGACAAGACAACACTGCACAATCCTCAAAACAATTTACATTTTACAATGTACAGTTCACCTTCCAAAAATGATAACACCTTCAGTACTTACCTATGTCGGGTTTGATAAAGTTGATTGTCTGGAACAGCATGGAGGAGGAGTTGACCATGACGTAGTACGTGTCGTGGAAGGGGTCTGCGCAGTCGTGGAACGGGATCTGACAGCTGTTCTCTGACGTCAGATTACACGACTGCCACTCCGTCCTGGAGGAAAAAAAATTGAGTAGTTGTAACGTCAACCCACAGAACAGAGTGCATCAGAGTGCAAGCCCGTCTAAGATGGGGAACAACAGACGATAAACCGGATAGTGAGTGGGGTAAAAATTCAAAAGTAAATTTCAAAAGTAAAAATTTATGTACAGTTGTTAAATGATTCAAGTACAATTTCAATATTCAATATTCTATTTTAAGAATCGACCTGGCAGAAGTACATTCACATCTGGTTCTGAATTGTGTCAAGTTTGGGAGTAAAGAAAATCAAGTACAGTTGTTTAATGACTAAGTACAATTTCAATTTTCAATTTTATTTTAAAAATCGACCTGACAGAAGTACATGTATGTACATCTGAATTGTGTCAAGTTCAGGGCCTTATACATTAAACAAGACTAGTAAGATTGGGAATGGCTAACAATATTATACCCTATCATGAAAGTTTATCTGCATTGGTAGCTACAAAAAAAATACATGTTTAAAGTTTAAAATTTTGTTCCAACACAAAAGACTGTTCTCAGCAAGAGCTTTTGACCAGTCACTCTGGTTTTCTTCAATAGACTGACCCAGTGATCATGAGACTTACCACATTGCTTCTCTGAAGTGTGACGTTAACATTTCAGAGAAGCTATGTGACAAGTATATCACTGGAGCCCTAGGTGAGAGCAATCTCTATACCCTGTCTATTGGATAGTCAAGAGAGACATCTAGTGACTTGGACATGATCTGCAGAAGAACTAGTTTAGGTGGAGTCTACAGTTAAGCATAGTCAAGTCTGCTGAGTTTCCTGAACTGCACGTTCACACAGATTGTCTTCTGCACTTTGCTTTCAAAGCACTAGGTGTCTCTCCTTACCCACTGCCAGTCTAGAGTATGGTACTTACTCGTTGGGGCACCTGTCCTGTGCCTTCTTGCTTAACTTGAACAGTGCGCTGTATGTTTGGTTGGGCTGGTTTCTCCATGTACAGGTTATCGCCGACCCTGAATGAGCTTCGTTACACACAGTGCACTCCAGTCCAAAATCAGCAGAATCTGTATGAAAAAAAAAATAGCACCCAAATACATGAATTCTGGCCAGATACATCAATTTTACACTTTTCACATATTACTTCATGACGAAAATTGTCTTCTTCTTTTGGTTCTGGTAGCCACTTTCAGCCTGTTGAGTGTTACCATATGTTACCATATCAGTTTTAAAAGAATTTGGTTCGATTGCCAAAATTAATGTTTACCGGTAGTACACGTCATTTTACGATACCTCGCAAGGGGATGAAGCGGATAAGTAACTAATTAAGTATTTTACGATATACAGTTACAAGGGCCCTATTCTTTTTCATTGCTATATGTATACATTGTAGTCTATATGTAATTGTTCTGGGATTTAGCAAAATATAATTATCACACTTGCATCTAGATCTAAACAGGCAACGTTACGAAGAAAGAAGCATATAAGAGAAACTCACCAAATTGTGCTGATGACAAGCCCATGTGCAGGAAAAGCACCATGGGAAATAGTGCCAGGGCGACCCCTGACCTCCACTGGGAACCCATTCTCACGCCTGATTGGACGACTGGTTACCGGGAGATTTGTGAAGTTCTAATCTGCAGCTCAGAGATTTACATCACGGTTTACCTGCAAAACAGGAAGGAGCCGTGGTGAGCACTGTGGGGATTCTGTGGTTATAACAAACAGCAAAGTAATCCTACAGCCAACCACAGTACAACATCATTATCACATTCAATGGTCAGTCAAAAATGGCATAGCTGGAAATGTACAATGTACAGTAAAACTACAATACATACATGGACAATATGGGAACTTTCCACATCTTATGAGTGACGCATAGGCAGTAGAATTGACAATGCATGAACAATACTTAAAAAGACCATCAGAGGAACTAGATACCCTATTAGTTACAGTCTAGTTGGGATGGGATTGGACACTTATATATATATATATTAATAAAAGCTGATAGCTCTATGCTTCAGGGAGCTTTACATGTAGGTGTCAAACCTCTACACATAAAACAACCCCAGAAACTTATCAAAAAGGGTGGGGAAGACCTGGCATGCTTGGCTGGAAACGCACGCTTTGGCGAAGCCGCATCGCACCAGTAGCTATCGGAAAATAAAGCGCTGTGGTTCACCCCAATACATGTATGTGGTCTGCAGCTTTTCTCTGCGAACCCTTTAAAACTTAAAGGTCCTTTTCTCTCACTGGGAGCCCTTTAAACATCCACGCTCATCAGTATTGCAGAGAAACCTCAGTCTGAAGTACCCACAGGAGGCCTGGGCTACTTGATAAGCCTGAAGTGTACAAAAGCTTTTCAACTCACACGGACCATTATCCAATACCATGAAGATATTGAACCAGGGAAGAGGTGATGAAAGGCAAGGGCACACGGTAATGTCACCCTCCCATTCACCACATGACAACCGTGTGATGTGATAGAACATGGATCAGTGCATCTAACCTTCCCTCATGCACAATTTGACTCGGATTTCTCTCCCCACCACACCTGAGAGAAAACACCTGGCTGTGTTTTGTCAACTTTTTACTCCATTAACCAGAACCGTCAAGTGTGATGGAGCGAACACGGCAGACCAAAGATGCCGTTCTGTCCTCAAACATTCGTAACATCCTAAATTCTTACACATACATACTCTTACTGTAACGCTAATACAAATCATCTAATACATCAATGGTGTCCACCAATTCTTCTACATCTACAGTAGTCAGAGGTTTATTTTCAAGGTAGATCTTTTGTACAAATGGCAAGCTATCAAACTGGAATGTTCTACATGTACCTTGAAACATTTGTAAAATTCTAAATTCTTAAACTTCTAAATACATTGATGTTATCCACCAATTCTTCTTCATATCCACTAGAGGTTTGTTAAAGTGGTTTTTAGGTAGATCTAATGTACAAGTGACAGGCTATCAAGTTGGAATGTAAGCTGACAGAATGGATGATTACAGTGTTAGTGTACTTCACATACTTGCTCTTGAGGCTGAAATCCCTTTAGCGACCAGAGCATAACACTCCAGCAGGCAGGGGCGCCACACAAAGGCCCACCAGTGTGTGCTCTGTCACTCACTTACCCCCGCCACCCCACTGGCTTCTTAGAAGGTCCGCGTGAGTTAGAGCCTTAAAAAACGGAGACGACTTGACCTCAGCTGACCTCGTCTGGCTGGTGCACTATGGGTAGCTGTGAGATATGGGACTTCCTACAATTTCAAACATTACATCAAATTGATATAATTTTTGTTTGTCTCTACAGATGATTACGAAAATGCCAAACCCCACTGAAAAGTTTTACACATATTTACTAGGGCCAATAACATCCTTTCTAAACATAAAGGAGAATGTGTAATGTAGCTTAAGCCTGGTTGAGACTTGAAAAAATTACGCTCGGTCCCCCAAGACCATGTACTGTCCATTAATCCAGCTCAACTCCAACGTATCCGATTGTTAAACTAATCCGGGGAAGCCGGGAGGCATACTGAAGAGAGTGGGATGTGTGTGAGGGGAACACGGAATCGCTCCAAGAAATTGGCGCTGTGGATTGGGAAGAATTCAACTCGGAGCGTGGGTTGAAATTCCACGAAACTAAGACATTCTTGGGGGAATGAAATATTTTCAACTTCAACAGTTCAAGGGATTTAAGAAAAGTTACGCAACAAAAAAAATGGGTTTGGACATCTAGAGCAAATTGTGACATACACATGTACATGTACGTGAACAGGTTTGATTTTCACGCCTGTTTAAACCCTAGACCTTTCCACAAGACACTTTGATCTTAGTCGTTAGGGGCAACTGCCGCTACAAAGAGCAGCGCGGTGACATTTGGAAAGGTGGAGCACCTTTAACAATAAGACAACATTTCCAGCATTGCAAAACTCTCCACCCTTAGGCAGCCCCTTTGCACTAGATGGTGATCGCTAGGCAACAGATATGGGATCAAAATTGGAATTGTATAACTTCAAATTATTCTAAAACTGGAATATGAGGCACAATTTTGCAATTGTGGGAGAAGGATTTTTAAGACATTAAAATCTGTTAATTATCTATAGATTTCTTTGAAATTTGAATGATCTGACAAATTTTTGGCTGCTTATCAGTTACTCATCAGTCAAAGCCTCTAGTGAGATGGGGGTGTTAAATAGAAGTGCATTTTGTCTCAGCGTAGGCTGTACCTTTTACTACCGGGGTATTGCACGTACAAATGTATGTTGTAAGTACCTAAGTCTCAAAGCAAATTTCAAACAGTGCCAGTAAAAGGACTTCAAGGCTTGGCAGTTTGTTGAGCAAAGGTGTGTTCAGGGGACTGCATCCCACTAGCTTTATGCCTGGATAAACCACTTAGGAGGATTTTCCAGCCCCCATATACATGTACATACACAAAATGTATATGGTTACAAGTGACTGACAGGGCTCAAAATCCTTTTTCTGCGTACTTGCCCTAGCTGGTACAGGTAACATCAAAAATTACCTGCACCGGAAAAATGCTTCCTGCACCATTTAGAATTTACTGGTCAGAAGGATGGATGAAACTGTCCAGAAAACATTTCTTTGAGACCAATCATAGGTGGTAACAGTCAAGACAGCAAAATAAAAATAAGATTATACAGATACAGTTTTACTGGTACTAACCTGCATACATGTATATGCAGCTGGTATCTTGAGCCCTTTGTGGGGAATGCCTAGAATCCAGGACAAGCCAATTTTCTACTGAAATAGCACAATTACCTACATGCGTACCCCAAATTATCTGGTAATGCTGATATTAATGAGGTCATATTTGTATCATGAAGGATACTGTCCTCTGCTACATGTACATGTTTTCTGTAAACACCTGTAACTCTGGTGCCAACACGAAAACTTTTCCTACAACAATAAACTGTGATTCACGTAAATAGAGGACTCAATTTCACAGTAGGGGGAAAAGACACCTTCGCTGTGTTTTAAATTCTGGGTGGGCACACAGGGTGTATTACTGGTAGAAAATCTGTAATGTTTGAGAGATAACACACCAACTTCACATGCGTGCGGCATGACAGCAACTGGTTATATTACACTAAACGACCTGTAACACCTAACCATTGATGAAATGCCCCACATTGTAACAGTGTTCGGGCAATATCTGAAGAAAGTTTTCCAAATTGCTGAACTTAAAAACTGCAGGAAACAGAAAAGGTTCAAGCCCTGAGTACAGTGTCATGCACCACACGACCCCACAGAGCAACACAAAATGATACAGGAAACATCATCCCATCCAAGACAGGAACTTAACCGTACCAAAGCTTTTAGTGTCAGATTGAAGGCTACGCTCTTTCCTCCATATCCATTTTACATCTGAAGAGTTTACCCATCAAAGCGCATCTTCTGGACAACCCAACGTGTAACCTTTCTCAACTTTAAATGTGGGAAGAGACTAGCAAAAAGCTTTTAAGCCGCAGAGGAAGCAACATGGGGATACTGAATGGCAACAACGTTCAACATTTGAAAATAATTTTTGTTGAGTGCTACAAGTGTAGATATTGTCCGTAGAAAAAGAAAGGTAAAGGTCCCATTATAAAACTTTTTGAGGCTGTAGGGGCAGTGGGTTGTTAAACCACTGTGTCCTGGTATTGGTATTTGAAGACGGAGCCCATCCCTCTCCTCCCACCACCATTTTACACCTGGGTAGAGTGAGTAAAGTCAATGATTGTAAAATGCCTTTTCCAATGTCTAGCCTGGAATGCCAGGAATCAAACCCACAACCTCTCAGTCTCATGTTTGCTATATCTTCTGGCTACAAAGCCACTTGATGCCACATCACTTCTGTCTATAGTGTATGGAGAATACAAGGACTATATGGTACAATGCACAAAACACTTATCCAAAATGTGTCCATCCTCCTCCATGATGCTACCACACAACTTAACTTACCTTATAAAAGGTTCAATACACATTGTAAACAGTTTGGAAATGTACTCACAGGTCTGCCTTCAGTCAACATTTTCTACACCTACACCTTGCCGAAGGCTTTTTCCAATTGACAGAAATAATGTACATGTTTGTACTGGGTCTCATACGGAGCATAATGTAATCAGTGTCTGCATGTGTGGGTGGTTCCATCAGAGAGTGGTCTGCCCACGTCAGCGTTTCCATGCCTCTGGCGATATGACATTACATCTAAAACACACAACTCTGCATGTACAATCTAACATCTATTGACTGCCACAACCTTACTCATAACTGCCGCCTTTCATGTGAGGAAGTACAGTGTATTCTAGAACTATTATACATAAAATAAAAGCGATTGGTCATTAATTAAAGGGCAGTTATACTGGCTATACAGATACAGAAACAGAATTATCCTGATGAATTTTATTTCTGTGTAACCCCTGTGTTGGAAATTGGAATAAAGTTCAACTTTTACCATAAAATAAAAGCATTTTCATCTCCTAATCAAGAAATTGCTTTTGCCATTTTAGTTTTATAGCAACGTTCAATCTCTCACGGTACAGTGCTACAGAAATTAGACAAAGAAAAGCTGGTGTGCTTTCAATATTCATTGCCAAAAACGACATTAGCCCTCAAGGATGAACATGAATTGTACATGCAGTCAAGTCGTTAATTGTGGGGT